CCAAATTTGAGTTTAGTTCACTCATAATCGCCAAAAGTGCAGGAACTCAGCGATGAGTAAATTTGTCTCATTGTTTCCTGTGGAAAACCTAAAAAATCTGCCGAAAAATGAGGAAATTGACGAAAATTTTATTCAGTCTCGGAGTAGTACCAATAGACTGAGTGAATCCAATGAATTTTCTCAAATTCTGGAATTTTTCCCTGGAAAATCCTGGAAAAACCTGGGAAAACATGAGACAAATTTTAGTCATCGCTGAGTTCCTGCACTTTTGGCGATTATGAGTGAACCAAACTCAAATTTAGGTTGTTCTCATTCGCCGTGTGTGATAATAACTTTTGCATTCCTACTGGTATAGTTGACAACAAGAATCGTACAGTACTATCCTAATATTTTGATCATGTGAATAAAATGAAAATTTTGCCGTTTTATTAAAATACGGTGAATTAATTTTTACTAAAGATTGCTAATATTGAAAAGCCAAACGCAACGGATTATAATTATGTTATGCATGCACAGCTTATTTGACACATGATCTTTATTAGCATATTTGTATAGCTTTAGCTTATTAGTGGATTTATGAATTCAAGGAATAAACATCAGTAGAAATTCATCAAAAAGTATTTGAAATTATATATTGCACACAAGAGGGTATCACTGCAGTCAGATTTTAGTTTTGTTTTTAATAGTTAATATTTTGGGCTATTTAACATGACGTAAATTACAAATAATACACGCAGTCGTGACCCGCAAACTATTAAACTTCCAACAGTCTCGCTGGTGCACTTGATGAACGTGCAAAAAAGAAGATAGTACCGTAAGTTGGGGGGTACCCCGTAACGTGGGTAGATCACCTTTTCGTGGTACGTTACGGGATGTAAGATCTACCACCGATTCCTAGTCTTGACTACTTCAAACTAGGGGAACAGGATTTTTCAGTAATCAAAGGAACACATCTTAGTCCTTGTTACTTTTTATGCCTTGTTGATAGTGATAAGTCCTCGGGTTGTCTGGACCGAGGATGATCTTGAAACAAGGAAAAAATGAGTTACCTATGTATGTGATTCCTAATCTTCTATTCGTTGTTCCCTAGTTTGAAGTGGTTAAGGCTAGTGTTCTGATGCATGGTCACTATCGGTGTCATTCTTTAATTTTGTAGATAAGGAATCCAATTTTGACAGACAAAGGGTCGCGCCTTTGGAGGGCGTTCCAACACTCCTAAGGGTATAAATAGAGGAACCTTTCAATTAGAATATATTCCTTGCGATGAAGGCAAGAATGACAACTGTATCAAAACCGAATACTTCATCATTTCTCTATAGTGATGGAGTTATACAACATGCACTAAACTAAGGACACGGGATATACTTCAGATCAAATTACTGGTCGCAGTAGTTTCATGTCCCGAACAGAGGAGAAAAAAAAAGTTAAGGGTCAAAAACACACAATTTTCAGTTCCGTTCCTTATCAAATTCACATTTTAGCGAGGAAATTAGTTTTAACCATGCGAATATATCCATCAATAATATTTTTACGACTGTCGAAGAGATGGTTGAGAATCTCATTTAACTAAAAATCTATAAAAACTGGACCATTGAAATTCCTTATGATGGGTGACTTTGGCCAACAAAATACATTTGATCATAAATCCCAACATAAGTAAATACAATGTAACTATTAGGAGCACATTTGGAAATGATCATAATGTCAATCGTATACATGAATAAAGATCACGTTTAATCCATGTCTATTCACATAAGTGTGACAATTTCAAACAACCCTTTTTTAAGGTATTTGTATGGCACTTAAGTTTTGAACACTATTTAAACAAAACAACATGATAATGTTATATACGCTTTACCCCAGGAGTTCAAGCAACATGATTTAGCCATCCATATTCCCAAAGCATCTGTGGTGTAGGGTTACTTAAGCCTCTCATCTCGGTTGTTCGGGGTTCAATCCCAATGTTCTCGGTTACTTTTGGTTTGATTAAAGTTAGTAATGCATCCGGTTTTGTCACATATCTAGTTTCTTTTATATCACTGGAACCAAATGAAGGTTTTGGATTGTTTTATAGCGGCACCGGTGGTGTAGTGGCAATCGTGATTGCCTCTCACCTCAAAAAACCTGGGTTCAATCCCAGTCGACGCCGCCGGATTTTTTGAGGCATAAAATCCCTGATCTTGCCTTCCTTCGGAAAGGAAAAAAGTGTTTTATAATGAAGTGAAATTATCTCAGAAATTTTTTAACCCTAGTTGTCATCTAATTGACCCTATCTTGAATTTCAGATTTTTTCATACATTATATTATTTATTTCGTTACAATGTTAGAGCACAAAACTGGAGCATTAGTTTTAAAACTGGCACACTTACCCTATTTGAAGATGTCTTATCTTTCACTGGTGAAAACTTCAGGATGGATTCTCTTACCTTTTTTGTGTTAAGATAAAAAATCTAACTAATTCCCTCCCCTTGGCTAGTTTTTGCACCTTGATGCTGGTGGGCGGGCTTAATTTCATGCTTTTTAGTGGAGTGTTGGAGACGGTAGGTTTATGGCCGGCGTTGCTGGCTCATGCCGCGATAGAATGCGCCATGGGCATGCAATGGGGATTACTAAGCTTCCCCTCTCTGATAAACCACTGCATGAGAGAACCAAAGATCTAGTCTAGCAGTGATAGTATCACACTTGTTACTCCTTCGATTGAGAGCCGCGTCGTAGTACGCTTACGTATAGAGCATTTCCAGCTCAAATCGTTAAAAAAATGTCAATTTTGTCTCGACCCCTTCTGATTTGAATGAAACATTGCTCACGTGTTCGCTGCTACTAATGGTTTCATTTTTCATTTAAATATGATTTTTTCCTCCAGAGTAACTTTTGAAAAGGGCGTATAAAAAAATGGATTAATTTTTTGCAAAAAATCATAACTTGAAAACAATTAACTGATGAAAATGGCATATGAGAAAAAGGTTTAGGTAATTAAATTATCTTTGCGGAAAAAAATACACTGAAAGAAAAAACTTCGTAAATTAGTATTTAAAAAACGTAAAACGATGATTATCTCAAAACACCCCCCCTTCGATCTTTATAATTTTTTTTTCAAGAAAATTGATGGAATATCCTTAAATTTCGTGAAAAGTGTATGCTGGTAACTTTCTTAAAAAGAAATCTATAATTTTTTAAATTTTTGCTGATTTTTACAAGTTGATGAAAATGCATATTTTTTAGTAAAATAATAATTTATTCTACGCATAATTTTCGATAACTTTGCATACAGAAACTTTTTTCCTAAGTCAAGCCGTTCTCAAGTTAATGCGAATTAAAAAAATATAATTATAACAATTTTCAACATTTTAGGCCATTTTCAAATGTTCGTCGAGATGTCCAGCAACGAGATTTTTTTTTCATGATTGTATATTAAAAAACAAACAATTCATTCTCAGATATGGTAGCTGTCAGACTTATCCGTTTCTATCTAGAGGCAGCGGAAGAGAAACACGTTGATGTGGTCAAATGAAAGATTTGTTGAGATAAGAAACAGTATATATTTATTATTTTATTTTACAACTCATATTATTTGAATACATTGAATAATTTGGGTGTATTGTTTGAATTAGAGAATATTTTTACTGCAATTTGGTTGTTTGAAACTGGAATATAGCAATGATATTTTTGAGTTCCAGGAATTGGTTTCACTTTCTTAAAAATTGGATCAAATTCCGTGTCAGCCTTTTTGTATTCTTCCGTAGAAACATAACAAAATGACATTTTTGTTTGAAGATCTTCCTTACGACTATTTGCCCAGTCGTACAGTTGTTTAGAGTTCGTTATAGGGTGCTCGTGTTGCTTAGCTAAACTTGCTCTGGTTGCCATTCTCTTAAGGGTACCGCCAATCGCATCACAAGGACCTTTGCCGTGTGAAGTTGCAAATTCATTCAATTTCTACATTATGCTTATCTTTAAATCCACAAAGGCTAGCAATTTTTTTTATGTTTTTATATTGTGATGCTGCTCCATCTGAAATAAAAATACACTTTTGGACTGTTATTTGCGACTTTAAAAATTCTAATAATTTTGAGATAAACAACTGAACTGCTACTGTGTCATGCTTTGAAATGTCCGAAATAACCACAAAACTTAAATGGTTTAGTGTACCATTGTCAAACGATAGCTCAAGCTTTTCCGGCAAGAAAAAATGGATGGTTTGACTAACTTCCGAGAACGAAAACAAAGGACTTCCGTCGATCACAAAAGCTCGTTTTATTCTGATTTTTCTCTCGGTACAGTGTTGCTGGTTTTCCATTAGCATAAACAAAGTGTATTACGTACTTCAAATAAAAGTCACTCAAAAGTTCAGTTAAAGTTAAATTTTACTCTGCGCTACTGTCCATTCATTCTCCCCCCGTTGAGTCAATCTCAACAGAAGGCAATAAAGCAACCTTTGCCACTGCTCGCTTGTACTCGCCATTCGTCGTTCGAACTGTCACCACTCTCACAGCACAGTCTTCACCTGGATGTACGGCGACAATCCGGCCACGTCTCCACTGCTGCGGGGGTGCATTGTCATCTACTAGAACGACCATTGCACCGACCTTGTACTCCTTCACTCCGCTGTTCCATTTCTGGCGTCCCTGGAGGTGGTGAAGGTATTCACGTGACCACCTACGCCAAAAGTGCTGTTGCATCTGCTGAATATGCTGCCACTTGTTCAGACGTCCTGCATTTTCATCCTCATACGATGGTTCCGGTAGTGCTACACCAGAGTGACCTATTAAAAAATGTGATGGCGTTAGCACGGAATAGTCGCTTGGATCATCCGACAGCGCAAACAAAGGTCGCGAGTTAAGAATGGCCTCCGTTTGAACCAAAACGGTGCTCATCTCTTCATACGTAAGCCTGGTCTCACCAACAGTTCTCTTCAGGTGGTATTTCATGGATTTCACCCCCGTTTCCCAGATTCCGCCAAAGTGTGGGCTTCTGGGGGGATGAAATGCCAGCGGATGCATTTACGCTACAGAACTCTTTACTTTCAGTTGATGCTGCTGATCTTCAAACAACTCCTTCAGAGCAGCTAGTTCATGATTGGCACCGACAAAAGTAGTAGCGTTATCACTGTGGATGTTACTCGGCAATCCTCGACGACTGGAAAAACGTTGCAATGCAGCAATGAATGTTTCGGTCGACAGGCTTGAAACTAGTTCGAAATGGATGGCTTTCACTGCCATACACACGAAGACGACCACGTATGCCTTATACAGCTTCGTACTCCGACCTCCTAGTTTCAACATAAATGGACCAGCATAGTCAATACCAACCTTGGAGAATGGTGGCGCTGGATTGACTCGAGACTCCGGAAGATTTCCCATGAACTGACCACCTGGTATATGACGCTGCCTAGCACACACCTGGCAATTAGAAACGATTTTCTTGATTGCCACCCTTACGCGCACCGGCCAGTAACGTTCGCGTACGATAGCTAACAATCCATTCTGTCCAACATGAAAATGTTCCAAATGCAGTCCACGTATGATTGCCTCCGTGACGTGATGCTTCTCCGGTAACAACACCTGATGTTTGCCATCATAAGGAATGGCCGAATATTTCAAACGGCCTCCGACTCGGATTAAGCCGTCGTCTCCCAGGAACGGTGCGAGGTTCCGCAATGGATGCCGCTGAATGGAATTTGAATGCAACGCCTTACGCAGATCGCCGAAACATTCACGCTGGAGGACTGACAAGATTGATGCCTCTGCCTTCTTGATTTCGTCCGCTGAAATGTCACCGAAGCCTTGTTTCTTATGCACCTTGATATCGATGTAACGATGCACGTACACCCACGCTCTCTGCATTCTCATGTAGTTGCTGAGTCTATCAAGTACTATAGCCGGACAACATTTCATGACCGCCAACACTACTGCCGACTTCACCTCCGGAATAGCTGATTCTTCCAAGTGTTCAGGATCACCGATGTTGGATGGGAATTCCATAATAACGGTGAACCATTCCACCATAAATTCCTTTGCAGCAAATCCTGTGGCAATTCACCTCGTGAAATTACATCTGCTGGATTGTCGTCCGATTGTATGTATCCCCATTGGTAATCTTGCGTCAGTTCCACTATCGCGGCAAAACGGTTGGCGACGAATTGGTTCAGTGCTAGCGGAGATTTCTTCAGCCAACACAAAACAATTTGGGAATCGCACCATAGCTTCACGACATCGAATCGGATTTGCATTGCCGACACCACTTTTCGCACCAGGTCTGCCAAAAGCAACGCGCCACAAAGTTCGAGTCGTGGAATCGTTGACGGTTTGAGTGGTGCCACGCGCGATTTGCTTGCAACCAGATTGACGAAGATTGTCCCATCCTTGTTGATGCTCCGAATATACACGACAGCTCCATAGGCACGCTTTGAGGCATCCGAAAACCCATGGAGTTCTATCGTCACAGCTTCATCTTGAAATGCACAACGTGGTTTCCGTATTTGATTTACAACTGGAAGTTGATGTCGAAACTGTTTCCATCTCTGCAACAGTTCTTCAGGAAGTTCGTCATCCCACTCAAGACCAAGACGCCAAATGTCCTGCATCACCAATTTCGCCGAAACAATAATCGGACCCAGGAATCCAAGAGGGTCGAAGAGTTGTCCTATTTCCGACAGCACTATGCGTTTCGTTACCTTCACATCCCAACTGACCAGGGCAGTCCGGAACAAAAAATAATCTTCTTTCAGATTCCAGATGAGGCCCAACGTTTTGATGCTGTTATTGATCCCGGTATCGTCAAAGCTAAGCTGCTTCTCCTGGATTTCAGCAGGAATTGCTTTCAACACCTCGGTACTGTTCGAACAAAATTTGTGTGCACCGAAGCCACCTCGACGTAACAGCTCCGAAAGCTCCGTGTAGATTTGTATCACCAGTCAAGAAGTCGTCGATATAATTATCCTTGATAATGACTTGCTTCGCCAGAGGAAATTCTTCACCTTCATCCGTAGCCAATTGAATCAATACCCTTGTGGCGTGGTGTGGTGAACTGGCAACGCCGTAAGTTACCGTCCGCAACTCGAACACTTTCAGGTTACCATCGCTGTCCCACCACAGAATCAGCTGGTACTTACAGTCGTCCTTATGGAGCCAGACCTGACGGTACATTTTGGGAACGTCGGCGGTTAGCACCACCAAATGAATACAAAATCGTAGGATAATCGAGACGATGTCGTTTTGCACCGTAGGTCCGACCAACAGCGTATCATTGAGCGAAACGCCAGTGGTAGTTTTTGCCGACGCATCGAACACCACCCTTGTTTTTGTCGTCGAGCTTGAAGCCTTATATACAGCATGGTGTGGAATATAGTATGCACCATCGATTGCTTCAGTCGTTTCCTTCATGTGATTCCATTGGATTCCTCGCCAGTGAGAGCATCAGTTTGTCAAGACGTTTTCGAGCAATATCGTAAGAGTCGCCTAGTTGACCCTGTATACCGTTGAATGGTAAACGTACTACATACCGTCCTGTCTCGTCACGGTAGTGAGTGGTCTTGAAATGCTCTTCCACGGCACCTTCAGCCACGGTCGTAATCCTCTCCGAATAGACGTTCTCAATTTCCCAGAACTTGGACATCGTTGCGTTTAGCATTTCTTCTTGGCGATTGAGCTGACACACACGCGGGTATGATTTGGCTTTCCTGGTTGGCACCGATCCTCATACAACCCATCTGAGTTCCGTTTCGGCTAGCGTTATGCCAAAGCAGCCGAGCTTCAAACGACCCTTTTTGACGAGATCGAAACATATTTCATTTCCGATGATCATGTCTATCTCTCCGGGTGTGTGGAACATTGGGTCCGCAAAGTGTAGGCCTGACGGTATCGGCCAGGATCGGGCGTCTATCTCAACGACTGGTAGGTTTGACGTGACCCGTGGTACGACCAGGAATTCTAAAACGGATGAGGCAAAAGAATTAATGCACGAAGCGAACTTTGTCGACAGCAGATACTTAACTCGGTTTTCGATATTGTTCAAACCGCTGATCGGCAGGTCCACTGGATCCAATTTCAACTGCAGTTTGCTAGCCAGCTTCTCGGTGATAATATTGCTGTCAGATCCGGAATCCAACAAAGCTCGACACTTCACAGTTGTATTTCCTTTCCCTGCAACCATCACTTGAGCCGTGGACAACACGACTTGATGCTTATCACCACCAATGTTGGCGCACAAAGCAGTTGCACTACGCTGCTGCTCAGGAACATTCTGCTGATTTTGAGGTTGCGCTGCGGGTTCTGCTGCATGAACTTCGTTTGATTCTTCCTTCTTCTCTGGAACTGCACCGCTGGGAGCATCCGTGTAGTGCAGCAAGCTGTGGTGCTTACGACCGCAAACTTTACATCCCCGATCAGACGGACAACTGACGACACGATGGTTCGCCTTCAGACAGTGGAAGCACAAATTTGCCTTCGCTACAACGGCCTTCCTTTCTTGGAGCGACATATTATGGAATTTTTCACAGCGATGGATCGAATGCTCTGCTTTACAACACGAACACATCTCCTTTGCGACTTGTACGAACGACTTGGAAGGGGGATACGACTTCTGGCCCAATGGTTGGCGCTGTTTGTTTGGAGCTGCTGTTGATTGCTGCACCGGCTGCTGCTGTACGCGGTTTGTTCGCTGCAAAACACGTCCTCGTTCACGCAAAAAATCCATAAACTCTTCGAAATCGGGTAGCTCTCCGTTTCCCAACTTCGATTCCCATTGCTCTTGGGTTTCTTTATCAAGCTTTTGGTACAGAACATTAACCAGCACAAGTTCGGCTAAACCCTCAACAGGGAATCCATGGCCGCTAAGGGCATCAGCATGTTTTCCGCAAACTTCAACTAGCTTGGAAAGAGATTTTCCACGATTATCCTTGCTTATTTTTGGACAGTCCAAGATGGCATCGATGTGGGTGTCCATAATTAGGCGCTTGTCTTCGTAGGCATTTTCCAGAATTTTCCACGCGGTGTCATAACTGTTGTTGTTAACAACATCTTAATCGATCTTGTCTCTGGCTTCACCTGTAAGTGCGTTCCGAAGGTGCAAGATTTTCATAGCATCAGGTTCGTTTTTGTACCTAGCCATAATGCTGTGGAACAAACTTTTGAAGCTGAACCAGTTCTCAGGCTCTCCACCGAAGCTGGGAAATGGTGCGTGTAGTTGAGGCGCTGGGGCTTGTACGTACACTGAGGTTGGAGGTCCAGGAGCCTACGGATTTGGCACATTCCGCACTTCTTCCACTTTCATCTGCTGCTCCGCTTGGTCGATCCTTGTCTGCACCTTCACGTACACGTCGTTGTGCAATTCTTCGAAGTTCATGTAATCTTTCCGCTGTGCTGCGCGCTGATCTCTCGGCAACTGGACAATAATTTCGGAATACGCTTTCTCAAAATCATTTGCAGTTCGCCGCAAAGTCTCTAGATGAAGCCTGAGCAGGTGAACGCTGATGGTCTCTTCCTGCAAAGACTCATTCATCCGTAAAAGCTTGTCGAGCAGCAACGTCTGCCGATCCCGCAAGGCTTCCAGGTTGAATTCCATCCTTCGTTGTCTTTCGATTTCCTGTTGAGCGGCTTTTTGCTGTGCAATAGTAGGCACTTTATTCGCTCTTGTACTTTTCGACCCCGTGAGAGCGTCGAGGATATTCCTCCTTGGCACTCGACTCGATGGTCCACAAGGTGTCTCACTTTCACTCATTCACTTTTTCTTCTGCCTCTTTTTTGGTAAACTAAATCACAAACGTCCACAAACGTTTGAATGTTATTGTTTTTGTTCCCCGCAGCGCATCCACTTGCAAATTGCAGTTCACACGCCACAAAATGGCGTAACTTTTCACAAAACGAGCCGAGCGCACTCGACTCCACGTTTTCCGCCAAGATGGCGACCGTCCAGACACTTGTGCCACGGACACACACTCGGTGGCAAAGAACCACCACCACTTTTGGCCTTGCGCCGATATTAACACACGGTGCTAATCACACACTTCACGAATGCCGGAAACCATACAAAATTCCTCCGGTGATCCGGGAGAACGGACCAAAAAATATCCAACGATAGCTCAAGCTTTTCCGGCAAGAAAAAATGGATGGTTTGGCTAAATTCCGAGAACAAAAACAAAGGACTTCCGTCGATCACAAAAGCTCGTTTTATTCTGATTTTTCTCTCGTTACAGTGTTGCTGGTTTTCCATTAGCATAAACAAAGTGTATTACGTACTTCAAATAAAAGTCACTCAAAAGTTCAGTTAAAGTTAAATTTTACTCTGCGCTACTGTCCATTCAACCATTATCATTAAAATAAACGACAAATGGATGAATTGTACATTGAGAATTATTCCAATGATAGCTTTGAACCTCATCTTGCAGAACAAATGTGTATTTTTCAGAAAAGTCGCAAATAACAACGGCTTCGCCATCTTCTAGTGTTTGTTTTTTGTTTTTAAGAATTCTGCCTGCTTATTTTTTTTTATAAAATCGTGATATATTAATTTGTCTAACTTTTCCGTAAAGAAAAATGAAAAATCTTCGGAAGGCAAAGTTTTCAACTCAATATTACACCTATCTGTCGTAGTCCACTGTTCAAATGACACTTCTAATATTTGTTTCTCTTCCAATATTTTTAATAATTTTGTTTCGGATAATGACGTATCGTAACAATTCATGCACGTTCGAAGATGGCAAAAGTCTGTTCTAGATTGTAAATCGCAAAGAAGTTGTTCCATATAGATAGTGCGATCACACAATATGCGATCTTTTTTCAGGCTGTTCAACATTAGATTAACATTTTCGTGAATCGTACATACACAAACATTATGAGATCCTGATTTACTAAGAAGTTTACAATTTTTTGGCCGTAAGGCTGCAAATGAGCTAAAGCTAATATTGATATCTTTATGGGTTTCCGTAAAATGCAAGTATGTTTCTTTGAGCGACATTGTTAGTAGACGTTTTTGTATTACCTGGCGTACACCACCCGTCACTACAGAGACATAATCTCTGTGGCCCGGCATAACCCTGCTTATATCGTCATCTTCGTAGAATTTCACAATTATATCTACTAACTCTGCTCTCAGTCCATGTCCTGCTTTGGAACGAGGGGAACATAATATTCCATCTTCGGCGACCAAATCTTTTAACTAGGAAGAAAGAAAATGAAAATTATTTTTAATTTTTCCTTTATGGCGTTTAAAAAAAATATAAATCTTACCTGTGCTGCAGTAAAGGGTGATACGGTCAAAATTTGGTCAAGGGAAAACGCGTGTAAATCGGTGAAATCGTTTATTTAAAAAATCGAATTAAATTTCTTTTTCAAGTTCAATTAGTATAAAATTCAGGAAAAATATTCAGTTAGGCTTCCGCTTTTCCAAATCCGAATTGCCGGGCCTTACGCTTGATCCCTGCCATCAGATTTTATACAGCCACCTTGTCCACCTTCTTCGCCGCAGAAAGCCAGTTTGCCTTGAACTGCTGCTCGCCCTTAGCAGTTTTTTTGGTCTTCTTTAGGTTCCGCTTGACAATAGCCCAGTATTTCTCAATTGGGCGGAGCTCTGGCGTGTTGGGAGGGTTCTTGTCCTTGGGAACCACCTGCACGTTGTTGGCGGCGTACCACTCCATGGCCTTTTTACCGTAATGGCAAGATGCCAAATCGGGCCAAAACAGTACGGAACAACCGTGTTTCTTCAGGAAAGGCAGCAGACGTTTATTCAAACACTCTTTCACGTAAATTTCTTGGTTGACAGTCCCGGAAGCTATGAAAATGCTGCTTTTCAAGCCACAGTGTACAGATGGCTTGCCAAACCAGATATTTCTTTGCGAACTTTGACAGTTTCATGTGCTTGAAAACATCTGCTACCTTTCCCCTTCCTTTTGCCGTATAAAACTCCTGTCCCGGAAGCTGCTTGTAGTCGGCTTTGACGTAGGTTTCGTCGTCCATTACCACGCAGTCAAACTTCGTCAGCATCGTCGTGTACAGCCTCCGGGATCGCGCTTTGGCCGTCGTATTTTGTTTATCATCGCGATTTGGAGTCACTACCTTCTTGTAAGTCGATAGTCCGGCTCGTTTTTTGGCTCGATGCACGGTTGTAGACGATACACCCAGCTTATTTGCGGCATCTCGGAGAGAGAGGTTAGGGTTTCGCTTGAAACTACCGGCAACTCTCTTTGTCGTCCTCAGCGGCTTCCGGTTTTCGATTTCCCCCTGATCCAGACTTCCTGGCTGTCGACAAACGTTCCCCAAACGCTTTAATTACATTTGTAACTGTTGATTTGGCAACTTTTAGCGATTTTGCCAACTTTGCGTGCGAGTAGCTCGGATTTTCGCGATGCTCGGGCAAAATTTTGATACGCTGCTCTTCTTGCTTGGACGGCATTTTGACAACTGAGAGTGAATTCCAAAATCAAAATAGGAGCAACATTCTACACACACACACACCTTCAAAATGAGGGTGTTCAGGTTTTTTAAATGCAAAATTGAAAGAATACGTCAAGTTGATATTGACCAAATTTTGACCGTAACACCCTTTATATCCTGTTGACACCGAAATTCATCCATGATTCTTTGTACAGGCCAAGATTTCGGTAATACGGATAATACTTG